TGCCTGCCAGGCATGCAGTGCCGGGCCGCAGTGAGGTCGCGACTGCGCATGGCATGGTAAACGGTCAAGCCCTTATTGATATGCATGTTGATATTCATATAATGAACCGTGGCTGCTCTCGGGCTGTATGGAACAAGTGATTCCCTCAATGAGTCAAAAGCCGCATATGCAAAACTACCTTCAATGGACTGTCCTCCTCCAGATAGAGACCTCACTCGTGTTCTGCTCGTGTAACTGATGACAGGACTCATATACAAAATTATTCGTCACACAAGTCACTGCTCATCGTCTCTCGTCAAAAAATTCCTGAATGGAGGTGAATACGTGGTGTAATACTGCAAGGGAAGGCCGTAGGCGAGCTAAAGCAAAGAAACTGTGAGTGATGGGAACGTGAAATGACACTAGGAAACCAAGTACTGAGTGAGTCCCGTCGTGAATTGGGGGGTGAAGTCAATCACTTTGCCCTGGTCATCTTTGGCAAGAGAAAAGTCCACCGTGGCCAACATGGTCACAATAGCAGACCACACTGAGGAATCAGCAGTAAACCGGCCTGATTAAAAAATGTTAATGTCTCAACTCATCACAAGCCATACAGCATCAAGATGACTCTACCCACCCGGACATCCTCGCCGACCTAAGCCGAAAATGTATTCCGCAGGGTCATCATCCGTCAATGCGCCGTTGACGTCCATGAATCTCTCTGGCATAAAACGAGACGGTTCGGGGTACCGCTTTTCATCTCGCGCAATGCCCCTGCAAGATAACATCAGCATCTCGAAAACTGGGGAGAATATATCTAACCATGTGTTGCATACCACGGTCGTTCCTGATGTACAATATTGAAAATGGTTTACGGATTGGACATAAGCAACAGACCTTGTGGAATGAAGTGACCTTCGTATATATCGTCACTCGAGGTAGCGTGTGGCACACCTGGAATATCATCTTCAGTAAAGGCGGGATCACTCAGCGAGGAAGAATACCAAGGGGTACAATGGGGTGCCATCGGAAAACCTCCCGAAGAACTGATTCGACGTAGGGCAGTGATCTCCTGTCCTCAAACGTAGGCAAGCGATCGCTTCCAACCACTGAGTCGATCTCCGCTTGTGCACGTTGTTGAACATCTGGGTAAGACACCATGGCGAGAACAAAAACCATCAAGGTCGAAGTAGTCTGTCAAGAAATTGAGCAGCAGAAAATATGGTTCCGACATCCGCTGACCGTCTCATATGAACCTGCATATCAGGTATTTATCAAGAGCACAGTCCCTCGTAAATGGCCACGAACCCACAATAGCAGTAGTAGCTGCTCTCTTTAATGCAGCCTCGAACTTTGGTTTGGATCCCTCGTCTTGCTTCTCCATCCGTTGCAAATTTTCTGTCACCATTGAAAGCTGGCCATTGGACAAGTTTTCGGCCTTGGCAAGCATGGAATCAATGTCTAGGATTAAATTAAATAACAAAAAAATGCCCACCATATGCTGCTGCGCATATTGAAACGGTACCTCCGTCATTTCAGACATACTATTCCTCGAAGATTGAGCATCGCGTTTGATCGAGGATCCCCAGCACCAGTCAGGTAACTTGAGTACTGCATGAGAGTACAGAATGTTAACTCTTTCTCGTCAGAGAAATCTGAGCTTACAGAAGGGGAAGGCCTTGAGCAACATTGATTTTTCTGGGGTAATCATAGGAAGGCCAAGAGCCACTGCATTTTCTGCGGTTCGAACCAGAGGATCATCACGCGCTTTTGTCTGGTAGTCATAGACAACTTCCATCGCAACAGAAGACGAGAATCTGGAATAGGATCAACAACCGCTCAATATCTACAAACCGGTTGGCTCACGTTGCCAAGTGAGCATGATAATCTTGAGGGTCCTCAATTAGGTTTACGATCAACTCATGGGCCCGTTTCATCTGCATGGGGCGAAACTTTACTGCAGACTCGGGACGGAAAGTTTGATGGAAGACTCGTCGGGAAAGACGCCATTCATCACCATAAGGTGTGAATGCAAAGACGACCGCCAACCCAAACCTGCCTGCACTTCAGAATGATTGAATGGTAAGAATATTAGAAGAACACACGGCTCCCTTGTGGCTAAGTATGGTCGATCGGAGTAAATGCGAGACCGCTTGTCCATTAAGGCTTTTGCAACATGCTCAGAATTGATCACGATCACATCCTGGTCTAGAATCCGCATGAAGAACAAATTCCCTGATAGAGTGATTTGCACCAGAAATGCACTAAACCATCTATCAACGTACCATAAACAGCATGCCATTGAGCATAAGTCAACCACGGTGCTTTAGCATCAATAGATAAAATGTTCCCTATTAAGGGGAGCGGCGTTGGCCCAGGAGGAAGGGAAGGCTTGTTCTGTCTGTTCTTAACGAACCGCCCGAGGGCGGTGATACCAACAAATGAAATAGGTAAGGCAGCGAGAATAGCAAGGCGAGCATCGACTGCAGGAATCATGGTTAGAACAGTACGTGGGTAGATACCCGAAGCAGGAAACGCACCTTATAATCACACAGGGAGGCCGTTTTTGCCCCTTGTACTTGTGGCCTTCGGGGGGGTCGGAACAGGACTGAAGATAAGGAAGAATTCGGCGTCGTACCTGACCAAAAATATCATCATATCAGGTCTATGCCATTGTACTATCCTGTCCCAGAACCCACCATCGCCCTCATCAATATAAATATGAAGACGACATTCGTACATGGGCAAAATAAAATCTGACCTAAAAAGATGGCAAGATCACGTACCCGCCTTCCAAAGCTCTCCTTTCGCCGGTAGGATTTCTATAATCCAAAGAATGCCGAGTTTGCTCTATGTCGACCTAAGTTGTATCAAAACATTATTGGACAATGAGTTCGGCTAGAATAAAACACCATCTGGGGCTCTATGTCCAGCATGAAGCCATTCCGGAAGCAATAAAACAACTGAAAGTACCACAAGGAGCAGCAAGAAGACACATATAGACCTGTGAAATATGCAAGCAGACATACCGGGTGAGTTTCTGTCAATCCCCATGCCTTAGTCGAATAGCCACGCTGGATGTGGAGGTAGCTGTTAACATTGATTAACGCCTGTCAAAGAGTCTCACACCGGTCTGTGAATCTGCCAATCTGTGGCCCCTGATGCTCCCACGTTGTTAGACGTACCATGTGCCGGTGTGGCGGGTCTAATTAGAGGGCGTTTCAGTAGTTCCCTGCCAGTACGAGTGATTGAGGTTATTTCAGGCCCTTTACGAGCTTGCCTGGCAGTACCTCCCACGTATTACAGCTATGTGCAAAAAGGCAGCACGCGTGATTCGAATGAATAAGGAAATAAAATAAATGTTCCAGACCCCACCACGGCGTGTCGTCTTGTCCCAAGTATGCCGTTTCGCAAAATCGTCACACGACTCGCGTAGGCCATGCTCGTGCGACGACTAACATCAGGAACTCAATCGCACGCTTTCCAGAATTGTATGATGGAAAGCTGAAACACTCCTTCCTTCATCCAGATGACAGTACAGAACACTTCCTGGAGGGGCGAGGGGCGGAGTAGCAGGCGCCGAGGAGCAACCCTACATCCGAAGTTAGATTACAGACTGCATTGTGTTAGCAGAAACCGAAGGCATGGGAGCTAGCATCGCTTACATCGAGCAGTGCACCACCCTGATTTCCACCAGTGCGCACAACAGCGACCTTCAGTGTGAGGTAAGGATGGACACCACTAATAGGTGGAAAGGACAGATCTACGACAAGTTGATAGACATGCTTGAATGGGAAGCAGACTGCTCACCCAAAGGTTCGTCTCCATGATCGAAAAGCTCATTCCACAACTTTGCTGATCACTTCTTCATGACCGAGCATTCGACCGAGTTCAAAGGATGCCGGGCTCTCTAGTGATGATCTAGGTGAAGTTTCTGTTGATCTGCAAGCCGGTCATGAGTACTGGAATCGAACCTCGTGGGAGGCTTTACAACGTCTCGGTCTCGCCCCAAGCTAAATATCTGTTTGATGATAGGACTCGGACAACGCCTCCTCGAGTCGACATTGATGAATATGATAATGCATGCGGGTACGCACCCTGAAGGAACTCTTTCCGTTAATGGCTGTAAGTAGAGCACGAAAAATATGAAACGGATCCCCAAGGTCGTATGGAGTGACCCACCTTCCAGTCTGATGCATCGACTTTCCAAGCTCCTGAACTACAACCACAATATCGTGTTTCAGCGTAGACAGCTAGTGCATCTACCTCTCTGATCTTCGAATTAACTTGGAGGGGCTCCCAGTGCATTCATAGTCTAGCAGATTGACGACGCGGTTGAGGATGGATCCGCGATTGTTCAAAATGAAGAGAAAAAAAAAACAGTTTCATGCTATGTAAGAAAAGAAGATTAGTCTAACTCACGCGAGTGATTATCTGACGGTATGACTTTGACGAACCAATACAGCCGGTGTTCTCCATTATTTTTTTCCGATGACTTTGCGAGGTGACGATGGTGGCGGGGTGTGTGACGCGAAAGGGGTTGCGGGTACAACTCAAACTGCTTCGCTGGACCCTGCGCCAGTGCGACTCCACGTCCCACAAATTCCTATAGCACGTTTTTTACAGGCAGGTTCACGAAGGTAAATGGACCAGTAAGTTATCCATCGACCGAGCAATTCGATATCACCTCTCAAATCACCATGCAACGCAGCATACCCACCATATCACCAACGCGTAGTTTTTTTTATCAAACACGAGCGTGCGCACGCTGGGGAACTTGAGCCTCGCTGCGTTTCCAAGCCTGTATGCCCAGCGTCAAGGACGACGACCGTCGAGTCACGGCGTTGTTGGGTAATTGGTACAGAGTCCAGATCACCAGTCTTCGGGGAGAGCTCTGTCAGTGTCAATTTCGTGGTCCTATAAATGCAAAGAAAAAGAAAGGAAAATCATGCTCGGGAAAAAAGGCGAGTGCTTGAGGGCGCGTAACCCGTTCCTCTCCGCTTCGAAAGAATGAACGAGATAAGCGACTCCAGCCCCTAGACCTTCTCTAACTTTTTTCATGTAGGTGCAGGAGAATCTTGATCTTGGGTAATGCAGTCTCTGCTAGCCTAGCGCAAAATACGCTCGATGGTGGGTCTTTTACAAATGTGCGGAGATCCCAAGTGAGCGCGAGGATCCGGTTGATAGATGTGGAGGATTGCATTGATGTCGTTTTGAAGCGAATGCTGTGAACCATTCACTGGTTGCGTCGTAGACATTTATGGGAGCGTTTCTGCCTAGAAGATCGAGCGTTAAGAGGCTGTGTGTGGACATGATCAGCGGTGCTAGTAAGGGATGATAGGGTACAGGGTACCGAGACGAGGAAGTTCTTAGAGTTGCACGCGAAGCATGGAGTCGGACCGACGTCCCATCTAGGATCATCATCATCCAGTGGAGGTTCATCCGATCCGGGTGAGGACGGCGGCGACAAACCTCAGTGATACGTGCCAAACCGGCGAGCATCGGCGAGATGGAGTGAACCTGTAAACACGGACAACAATCAGCCGAATAAGGAGACGTAGAATGCGAAGCTGGAAACAAGCCGGACAGCGATAAGCGTCTACCTGCTCCTGTCATCACTGCGAGGAAGCGTGATCCACCTCCGCATCTCACGTGCCTCTGCCTCCGTCGAGTACGCCCGGTTCGCCCATGCCATCTTCCAGTTCTGTTACTCCCCCTGTCCAGGATCCTGCCACGGTTGCTCAGCTCGTGCCATCACCTACGCTACTAGTACCCTCGCGAGCTTCTAAAATATCGAAACTTGACATCCCCACCTTCTCTGGCCCACTTGAACCAGCGGCCATCAATGCTTGGCTTGGCCGTTGTGAAGACTCTTACCTTGCATGGTCTGCCCTCACGGGCGTACTCGACGGAGGCAGAGGCACGTGAGATGCGGAGGTGGATCACGCTTCCTCGCAGTGATGACAGGAGCAGGTAGACGCTGATCGCTGTCCGGGGAGCGCGAGTCAGAGCGTAGAACACGCGAACTAGTATTAGTAGCGTGATGCTTCTGTTTGCGAGACCGATCCAGCGTAGACAACGGCGCGATAAAAGGAACAGTGGTTGAAGTTTGAAAAAAAAGTAGAAACAAGTCGTGGCCAACGACGAGAAACACTGAAGAAACACGCGAAACAAAACAGAACCACGTTCTGGATTGCGAGACGACGACGACGGTAAGGTACAAGCTGAGGAAAAGACGTGTCTACGATCCGATGCACCGTATGTCATGTGTACGTAAGCCACCAGGCTTACAGAAGCGTCGTGGTTCTCACCTTCGGAGACACTATCAAAGCTTGGGCATGGTCTGACATAGCCCATCTATGCTACACGCTTATCAGAACGTTGATCATTGCATGAAAAAGCAAAAAAGAAAAAAGAACATCACGCTAGGTGGTACTGTGGTATATTTCTTAGCAAAAGCGATGTGGGTACTCACCTGATTGCCCTGTCACAAACTTAGCTCGAGTGCACTGTATGACGCACACTTCCACCGACTGACGAATACTGGCTTTCTTATGTGGGAGTCACAGGTGGATATTTTAATTGCTCCACACCAAATCGCCAGTAGATTTTGCTTCATAAGGTAGATCTTAGGTGGCAAGCTGCTGACATGGCAGATATCATCTGTTCGAAAGGAGATCCCGGTGGATATATGCTTCCTACATCGCCGCTGTGAAGAAAAATATTCAGCACATAAAAGCAAGCCGTCTTCCTACTGTCCTCTTCTGATTTATTTGATCCCATATTACATCCCCACAAACAATGCGTTTCTCCTTTGTCTTCGCCATTGTTGCTACTGCTTTAACATCGGTATCTGCCAGTGACGCTGTATGTCCTCTCTTTTGCATACGCGATGCAAATTGTAGACGCTGCCCTGAGGGAAATTGCGTGAGTATGAGTGGTTTGCGTCCTGGATTTAACCACATGACTCACTGGCGTGGCAGATCATCTTTATATGCTTCTAGTGTGGCAGTGAGTCGTGTTTCTGCTATCACATCGGTGCAGTATGATTGATAGCGCGACGCGTGAGTTACTAGTGGTTTTTTCTGAGCCGATCAACAGGTTTGCTGGACACCTTCTACTGTCGCTTGAGCAATGGAGATATTAGAATAGAGGACTCGCTTTTAAATGCTGCGTTTGTTACTTGATAGCGCTCAGCTGGTTCACAGGCCTTATTACGAGCTTTGGAACTGGCAGTGGATGTACATATCTTATACGTGAATGTATGTTGGTCATACTGGGGTCGTACGTGTTTTTCTCGCTATCTTGTGTAGTGGGTCTTGTAGCGTCAGATTTTGTCGTTTTCCTGCGAGCTGTGGGAAAGCGCTCCTTCAAGTGCTGGAGAAGGACGAGTGCGGTGGAGGAGGTAGGGGATGAAGTAGGGCCGCCTAGATCTGCGAGCGATGAGAAATCGCTGCTTCCAACGCTGGAGGATGAGAAGCCCAGCAAATGTTTCGGGTTACAAAATCAGTCATTCGGGCGAGCAATCCTGAGCAAGGTTATCTCGGTGAGCAGCAGGTCCTTAAATTAAGTGTTCGTGCAATCAAACTCAAGGCACAGAATTCTAGGACTTGTACTCGTTTCCACATATTGTATTGTTGTGAAGAAAGACTGGCATATATTCTGTCATCGCACTCCACATTCGATGGCATACCGAATCTCCACCTGATCGCTGTTTGCGTACCTTTCGTGGACTTGAAACAGTACAATATTAATGATAGGATGCAAAAGAGCGATGGAAAACTACTATAGGAGATAACAAAAGATGTCAATGAAGCACTAAAGATGACATGTTGGATCCCTAATGTTGCCCATCAGTGTGTTGAATAGGCAGGCAACAAGCCCAGGCCATGAAACGAGCGCGCCATCCGTCTCTTATGGTGAGATGAGGATGATAAGTTGATCCCACTGCCCCTGCGGAGGTAGTGACTGGAGGAGGTGTCGTGGATGACATGGCCGCAGTGGGTTGTGGCTGGGACGATGGTGGTTGGCTCTGGGTCGTTCCGATATGTTGTTGTGTGGTATGAAGCTTGGATGGTCGAGAGGATCTAGTTTTCCCTCTCGCGTGATAATCTCTCTGCATAGAAACGAGTCAGTGACGGAGAAGAACCGAGAAGGAGATGGCGTACAGGCTTGCCCGGTGCGCACGGGACGTCGACCACTGGTAGGGTTCGCAAGGGGATGTCGCGCTCAGTTTCTCCGCGTGGATTGGAGCGGCGGCGCCAGAAGGAAGATAAGTGATCGAGAAGAGTCCGTTGAGGCTGTGCTGTGGTGCGTCGCCCACGCGAGGTAGATGACTGATAAAATGTTGGTAAAGAGAATCGTTAAAATATAGATGGAGACCACGTACATCATCAAAGAACCCTGGTGGTAGTCGACGAGCACCTTCGATTCGCGGAACTGGTCTTCGCGGGGCGCGTGGTCGTGTAGCATCAACCTAGGATATAGATATTCAAAGTCACGCAAAAGGTCAAGAAAGGCATAGCATACATGCACGTTAAACGGCTTGTTAATAGTGTTGATCTGCAAGGATGATTAGGCACATTGATTATTGAGAATGAAATGAACCCAAGCTTACATTGTCTGACAAAAGGTGGTCTAGGCCAGCCTCTTTGACGATCTTAGAAACGTCCCATGTGTATACGTGATTTTCGCGGCCGCCAGTAGCGAGAATCTTTCCATCCGCAGAAAAGGCGGCACAATTGACCGGGTGTTCGTGGTGAAGGGGTTGTTCGATGGGTTTATTGGTTTTTAAGTTCCATAGTTGCACTGTCGTGTCATCGTCCGTTGATGAGATTGTGGCAAGGATACACCCATTCGGAGATAGTGAAAAGTTGTACATATCTCCAAGTGAGTCGATAACACCGATTTCTGTCCAAGTGGCGGTGTCGAATTTCCTGATTACGTTCCACCCGGCGTACATGGTCTTTCCATTGGAGGTCCATGCCAGGGACCTAGTGCGTCTCTCGTCGATTGTTTTGAGTAGTTCGCCTGTGTTGGCGTTCCAGATTTTCAGCTTGTTCGTGCCCGTCGCAATCATCGTGCCATCGGGTGAGTAGCTAACCTTCCACAACCAGTGATTCCCTGCCTTGATTGGTCCCAGGATGGTGTTGCCGCTCTTGACATCCCATACTGTGAATGCTCCCATAATGCCTCCAGCCACGACTCGCCCACCGTCTGGACTCCAGCAGACACACGCCACTCCTACCTTTGTGTGCCCTGTGCATTTTTTGACAACTTTGCCCGTATCGATATCCCACAATCTCACTGTTTGATCCCCACCCCCGCTTGCTACTGTCTTGCCGTCCGGTGAGAGTGCTATGGTCCACACCTGTCCACTTCCTTCATCCGTCCAGGCCTCCCCGACTTGCATTCCACTTTCCAAGTCCCACACTCTAAGTGAGCCATCCCATGAACAGGTCATGATTCGCCGTTTATCCGGCAAGCCTAGGATGCCAACGACCTTGTTAGTGTGTCCTTGCATCTTTTTGTGAGGCTTTATCGCTGATCTCTCTTGCTTTGCAGGAGCTGTTGAAGACATTATTTTGGCTCGAGGTCTTCACCTAATGGGCGGGGCACAATTTCAGCTCTTACCCACCGAACGAATGCCATCACTTACTCGACGGTGCTTGTTTATACTCGGAATGAATAAGTCCTCGATGGAAACCACAACGGAGTGGATATTTGTTCGACGCAGAGTTGAGCCAAGAGAGTGGTCGCTGTTTAAGTCCGCTACAGGTGCGTCTTCCTTGCTTTATCCTGTGTTCGCTTCACAGCTAGTATACGGGCTATGCAGATCAAGCGCCCAAGTCTCATTTTCTGAAATTTTGACATCGATATCGACATGTCAATATCCCATCTGCTAGTGGTCCTGCCATCAACATTCCTGCGTTTCTTCGCTGGTACCTCTCCATCCCCAGCGGCAAATACCTCTGAAACGTTCATCCCGTCGTCTGCTGGCCCATCACCGTGCGTCTTAAAAACGATGTCTCAGCAAGCCCTTCCCGTATCATCCCTTGGTCGAAAGTCATTCATTGGTGTTAACACACCTTAGTGATTCGACTATTCAGTTGATGGTTGGATCATTGAGGCGTGGAACGCGCTGCTTGGATCCTCGAGCATCTGTTCCTCTCACGAATCATGAGGTGCGCACCGCCATAAGCTCAGGATATTTATTCGGCTTCAGAGTTTCACTCGACAGCGTTGCAATTGATCGTTCACTTCGGACAGCCTTTCGAAGCATTTTCGCTAGCGCAGCAGCATACACGAGAATCGCGTCAGATCATCCTCATGATATGATCGCACAAGTGAAAGACGTGAATTCTGTTCATACCATGATGAATGCCAGGACACTGAAGATATTGTAGCTCGCTGAGAGGGTCAGCTTACATGCTACCTCGTCTTGATCCGTTCCAAATATTTTCCAGTTTACTTCCCCCTCAGCATCGCATTGGGTCTTCAGTCTGTTCACGTCGCATGATGTCATGTCTCTATCACCTGTTGTACAACTTCCAAGTTTGCGATTCTGTGTTATTGTCACGTTGGCTGCTGATATCTTCCGTTCACAAGCAGTATCTTCGGTATTTCAATATACGCAGGTATCAAGTTGAAGGAACAGGCGGAAGGGCCGTTGCCAGTGCGATTGGGAGAATAACAAGTTTTTCTTTGTCCCACCGCACACCACGACAATCTCCAAGTCAGTGTCCTAACATTAACACCATCGTAATAACCAAGGCACATACCACATCGCTCTCATAATACACATCCTCCTCCACGAGCTTACGCACGACATCGATGTTCCCGCCCTCGTAAATCATGCACGACCCGACAAACTTCTTGTCAGCTGCGGCTGCGTCGACGGATTCAGGCGTCATGTAGCCTCCGCCGTGCGTTAGTGTGCGTGCATGCGATAGGTTCTATGTTTTGTGGGGACTTACGCAGGGTACCTTGACCAGCGAGTGTCTTAATGTTCTCGAGGTGGGGAGGCCTCACTGCCATTCTCCGTTGTAGAGCGCCGTCATCGGTGTAGTCGGGTGCCCATACGAAGAACTTTGGAAGGGATTGTGTCGAAGACATGTTTCTCTGATGGATGGAGATGCTTCGCTGTGGATGTTCCTGTGTGCGATAATAATGGAAATCTTGAGAGCCCGTGCCATTTCACGAGTCGGTCATGGTCGTGACCAGTCGATTGGTCCAACAGCGGTCCACGTTCGGACCGATCGCGGACTGAAATTCTGTAGTACCACACATTGACCAAACAAAGGTCTCGAGCTGGCTCTACACTCATAGTCTCATACATACGCGCCATGCACCAATTGACTTGTCAATGCATGAGGGCAACTGGTACTAAATACGAGATCTGTCCTTGAGCTGTCTGTCTACAACCGTTCTGGTCCGTCTCGCGTTCGCGGGCATAACGTTAGTTATAACTGAAAATAACCGTGACTAACTCGGAGCCCCGACCGACTGATGTACATTGATACTTTAAACCCTCACCGTGACAGTCATGCTGCCCCGTTCCATCCAGTCCGCCGCTTTGAGCTGCATACATTGCACCTGCCCACCTCCTTCCATTTTCAAATGGAACTGTGCTCGCTTCATATCTTCCACATCTACAAAGCTGCACCAATACATGGATTACCCTAGTGCGTCGCATGACCATCCGTCCCAAGCACATGCTAGGAGCTAACAAGCTCATAAGCCAAGGAATCATCAGTCAGTCATTTAAATTCATCGTCGTGTGGTCTCACGAACATCCCAACATTCAGAAGTCGCCGGTGGTCTCTTGACGCCTGAATCACAGGATGCAGAGCCTCATAATAGAAAGTTCATGGGGTCTGCGCTGATCTATGAAGCCGAGAGCTTGGAGGATGTAAGGAGGCTTGTCGAGGCGGATTTGTATTGGACGGAAGGCATTGTGAGTAGTGCTTGTTTGCATTTTCTTTCAGACAAGCTGATCGTCTTTGGGGAAGTGGGACAAGGAGAAATTGGACATTCTTCCGATGGTGATGGCAACTACCCTTCAGGAGCGAGCTGGTATCAGTCAACCAATGCCGAAAGACGAGGACTGACGAGACAAGGCGAGTAGCTGGGTAGCAAATACATTCGATTTGATTACCTAAAACAAGATATTTACAAGGCTCAGAGCTACACGTGATCATACATGAACAACAAGCTCTTCAAGATACTTTCCTCAATCGCCTTGGTATCGACATGCGCTGCCACTCAAGCAACGTAATCTGCTCACGCAGAGCCAGACATTTACTATTAAACCTCGACATCGACCTGCGGCGATCAAAGCACATTCGTCCCGGAAGTACGATACCATCAGCGTAAACGTGCATCCTGAGTTTCAAGGGTCTAGCAGGATGCTAGGGAATGCGGGGCCGTTGTCTTTTGGCGTGACATAGCGATGTGATAATAACCGAATCTCATCGCACCTACGGTGCGCGTTTTCTCGAACTTTCACTTTCAGCTCGTTGAGATCTGTACCCGACACAGCACTGGCGAACATAATCTGATGGCGCATCGCCCTTGCCGTCAAAGAAGAAGAAAACAGTGCCATCGGCTATCCAGGTGATATCAAGAAGGATGAGCTGCACCCACGTTTCGTGATACCTTTGTTTCCTACAGCTGTTGCATACTCATTGAAGTGTGATCAGCTCCGTATTGGCACTTGGGAGTCTTAGAACTACTTTGTACCCCGAGGGGAGGATTGAGATATCGGGAATCAGCACATGTTCGTTTTATCGACCATGCCGCTATATCTGTGCTGGTTGGTACTTTCCACGTAGTGGCCTCGGACATCACTCGATCACTGACCCCATCAAGCTGGCCTGGGGCACGTCGCTATTCCCTATTCAGATATGTCAAGCTAAACTTCGCCTGTGTTTCTTCCCTCTTTTGTACCGACAATCGAGCTGCTCCAGGGGCCATTGTCTGTTTTATCGCTCATGCATAATGCTTGTCGGCCGATGCTTCTCGTGTGGTAGTGTTATGGCACAGCCCTGCCAGTAGGTGGCTCCAACCTTATCATGCTGGCCTGGGGGAACTGTTTGAGCTAGGGCTAAGTAATTTATACATTTATCACCTTGTACTTTGACTCGTATAACACTTATAATCATCCAAATGACAGAAACCTCCTAAATCGCCTTTGTGTACAAAGTCTCGATGGCTTCTTGGCACTGTTCCGCGTTCTGAGCTAGGCCTTCTTTTTCCCTTCGAGATCAAACTATCGTATTCTACAATGATCTCACTGGTGACTCAATTCAGACATGCCCGTCCTCCGCTGGGGCTTTTATGCATTTTTTTTAACAAACGCCTGCCGCGACTTCATCTGGAGTCGTTAAAAAGAAACTCTCACCTCGATGATGTTATCCGCCGTCTCTAAATTATTGGCTGCCATCCGACCAGCATAATTCATGGTAAGTGACCGGGACGATGGGGCTGGCTGGTGCTCTCAGCAGCGATTCGATGATCCACGTACAATTGACAATACTGTCAAGTGTATATGAAAACGCGGCAGAGATCTCCTCTTCTAAATCCATACAACTATAAAATCTCTAGCGTCCTAGTGTCCATCATGTTATGAACAGCAGCCATGTCCTTGACTTGCGCTATGATAGAGTGATCTGAAGTGATTCTCTTGTACACCCCACCACGCTGCTGTGTTAGCAAAAGCGCGCCAAAAGGCTGTGCAAGGCGAACGATCGACCTCAACGCTCGCTCGCTCGCTCGACTCCGAATTAATCGGCTCCTCTTCTCCAGAAAACCCACTAAGCGAAGACTCGAGCTCCGACCAATCGTCCATGCTCTGTGCATCATCTGGAAGGTCAGACAGCTCGAATTCAAAACGATTCCACGGACGGACGAGCAAGAATGGCTGTTGAGTGGACCTCATCCGCGAGAACTGAACCAGCCTATCTTCTGTGGTGATTAATAAGTTTTGAAGTCCATCTACCTTGACTTCATAAGTGGGACAGATCTCCTGGTCTTGCCTACGCCTCCGTCTGACTGTTGTGAGAGGAAATGTGATACAAGTCCAACAAATTCCTATAGTACATTTTTACAGGTAGTGTCGCAAAGACAAAGACAACAGTAAGTTATCTATCCACTGGTCTCAAATAACAATGCAACGCAGCATACTCACCATATTACCAACGGGTAGCTTCTTATTTTACACGGGTATGCGTACGCCGCGGTACTTGAGTGTCCAAGCATGACATATGCCCAGCGCAAGGATCACGACCGTCAGGTCACTATTCAGAAATTCGACATTGCATTCTCAGTCTTCGATCCAAGTACCGCTGTTGAGTAATTGGTAGCGCAGATCACCCAGCGGTCAGCTCAGCGTTCCTAAAAATGCAAAATGAAAAAAACCCCAATCAAACAAATGCATACTCGGGAAAATCGGCGAGTGCTTCGAGACGCGTAACACATTGTTCAGGCGTGGAAGAAGGATGAGATAGGCAACTCCAGCCCCTAGGCCTTCTCTAACTTTTGTCTCGAACCCGAAGTACAGACGCGGTATGGGCATAGGAGATGAATCAGGAACAAATAGACCGCTTTGATGTAGTAGGTGCATATTGATCTTGCAGTTTATGCTATATAGACTAGCGCTCAAAAGACGTTCGACGGTGGGTCTTCCGAGGAGATTCCAAATGAGCGGCTGCGCGAGGATCCGCTTGATATGTGTGGAGCATTGCATTGATGTTGTTTTGAGGTGAACCATTCACTGGCTGTGTCGTAGATGTTTGTGTGAGGATCTGTACCGAGAAAGTCGACCCTCGGGAGGCTGTGTGCAGACATAGTCAGCGATGCTAGTAAGGAGCGATAGGGTAAAGAGAACCAGTACGACGAAGCTCTTTAAGAGTCGCACGCGAAGCATGCAGTTGGACCGACATCCCAGCTAGGATCGTGGTGTTTGGTGATTTGCCAGTAGGACGTGTAACTCGTGAAAAAGGGTTGCGGGCACAACAGTGTCAGGAAGTGCTTCATCTGATACACGTGTTGAATGATACGCGATCACCGCGGCCAAATGGGAACTTCAATGTCCGATACCCAGAGGCAACTAGCAGCTGGTAGACATCGCAATGAATAATCTCACAACAATCGTTGAGGGATGATACTCACAAACGGTGGTAAGTGCCTGAATGCCCGACCGGGATTTGTTTTCGTAGTAACACGGGTATCGTTTGGCGCAGAACGTGCCAGCGCGTGCTCTGAAACATCGCCATCCAGTGGAGGTGCATCCGATCCGGGTGAGGACGGCGGTGACAAACCTCAGTGATACGTGCCGAACTGGCGAGCATCGGCGAGATGGAGTGAAGTTTGGACCTGTAAACATGGTCAACAATCAGCCGAATAGTGAAACGTAAAATGCGAAGTGTCGTTATTCTCATCTTCGGAGACACTATCAAAGCTTGGGTGTGGTCTGACATAGCTCATCTATGCTAAACGCTTATCAGAACGTTGACTATTACGTGGAACAGCAAAAAAACGAACATCACGCCAGGTGGTACCGTGGTGCGTTTATTAGCAAAAGCGATGTGGGTACTGACCTGATTGCCCTGTCAAAAACTTAGCTCAAGCGCACTGTATGACGCAAACTTCAAAGCACGATCACAGGAATCAGGAAGTTGTTTGGCAAAAGCCTTGAATCCAAACAACCGGGTGTATTTGAAATAAACATGGCGCTCGCACCGAGATGTTGAGTGCGGAGTTTGAATTTCTGATGATACCATTTCAATGTACAGGGCTGGTTCGACTATAACGTTCACCGACTGACGAGTACTGCCTTTCTTATGTGGGAGTCGCAGGTGGATATTTTAATTGCTTCATAAGGTAGGTCTTAGGTGGCAATCTGCTGGCATGGCAGATATCATCTGTTTGAAAGGAGATCCCGGTGGATATATTCTTCCTACATCGCCGCTGTGAAGAACAATATTCAGAACATAAAAGCAAGCCGTCTTCCTACTGTCCCCTTCTGATTTATTTGATCCCATATCACATCCTCACAAAGAATGCGTTTCTCCTTTACCCTCGCCGTTGTTGTTGCTGCTTTGACAACATCAATATATGCCAGTGACGCTGTATGTCCTCTCTTTTGCATACGTGATGCAAATTGTAGACGCTGCCCTGAGGGAAATTGCGTGAGCATGAGTGGTTTGTGTCCTGGATTTAACAACATGACTCACCGGTGTGGCAGATCGTCTTTATATGCTTCTAGTGTGGCAGTGAGTCGTGGTTCTGCTTTCACATTGGTGTAGTATGATTCATGGCACGACGCGTAAGTTGCTAGTAGTTTTTTGCTGAGCCGCTCAACGGGTTTGCTTCTAGACACATTCTACTGTCGCTTCAGCAATGGAGATCTTAGAATAGAGGACTCGCTTTTACATGCTGCGTTTGTTATTTGTAACAGCGCTCAGCTGGTCCGCAGGCCTTATTGCGAGCTTTGGAACTGGCAGTGGATGTACATATCTTATACGCAAATGTATGTTGGTTATACTGGGGTCGTACGTGTTTTTCCCGCTATCTTGTGTAGTGAGTCGTGTGGCGTCAGATTTTGTCGTTTTCCTGCGAGTTGTGGGAAAGCTCTCCTTCAAGCGCTGGAGAAGGACGAGTGCGGTAAAAGTAGATGTCAGTGCGGTGGAGGACGCAGGCGGTGAAGTGGGGCACCCTAGATCTGCAAGTGATGAGAAATCGCTCCTTCCAGCGCTGGAGGACCAGTGAATTGTTCGGGTTACAAAATCAGTTATTCGGGCAAGGAATCCTGAGCGAGGTTATCTCGGTGTGAGCAGCAGGTCCTTAAATTAAGTGTTCGTGCAATCAAACTCAAGGCACAGAATTCTAGGACTTGTACTCGTTTCCACAAATTGTATTGTTGTGAAGAAAGACTGGCATATATTCTGTCATCGCACTCCACATTCAGTGCCATACCGAATCTCCACCTGATCGCTGTTTGCGTACCTTCGTGGACTTGAAACAGTACAATATTAATGATGGGATGCAAGAGAGCGATGGAAAACTACTATAGGAGATAGCAAAAGATGTTAATGAAGCACTGAAGATGACATGTTGGATCCCTAATGTTGCCCATCAGTGTGTTGAATAGGCAGGCAACAAGCCCAGGCCATGAAACGAGCGCGCCATCCGTCTCTTATGGTGAGATGAGGATGCAAAGTTGATCCCGCTGCCCCTGCAGAGGTAGTGACTGGAGGAGGTGTCGTGGCTGTAGTGGGTTGTGGCTGGGACGACGACGGTTGGCTCTGGGTCGTTCCGATATGTTGTTCTGTGGTATGAGGCTTGGATGGTTGAGAGGAGCTGGCAGTTTTCCCTCTCGCGCGATAATCTCTCTGCATAAAAGCGAGTCAGTGGCAGAGAAGAACCGAGAAGAAAATAGCGTACAGGCTTGCCCGCTGTGCACGGGACATCGACCACTGGTAGGGTTCGCAAGCGGATGTCGCGCTCAGTTTCTCCGCGTGGATTGGAGCGGCGGCGCCAGAAGGAAGGTAAGTAATCGAGAAGAATCCGTTGAGGCTGTACTGTGGTGCGTCGCCCACGCGAGGTGGAGGAGTGATAAAATGTTGGTAAAGAGAACCGTTAAGATATAGATG